TGGCCATGAAGGAATGTTTTCTTTTGTACTCATTCGCTGTATAAAATCCTTGCTAATTTTGTAAATGTTAAAAAAAAATAGCACCTATAGCATAAGCAATATCTGTGTTTATAGAAAAGGGATTTGATTTTCCATGAATTATTTTAATGACAAAAATGTGTGTTTTCATTAAGGAAGAGTTCAGAGAAGAGGATTGTACCAGATAGTCTATGTCTACCTAGTGAGACACTTTTGAGTTCCCTGTGATTGGAAAAGGGATGTGACTGTACTGTACGGTCTGTGTTTGCTCACAGTAATTATCCTTCTCCAGAGGAAGCTAGGATTGAGAGAATAGTGCTACCATATACGGAGTACTCCCTGTCAGACTCTGAGCCGGGGACTTGCATCCCTTATCTCAGTTTATATCCCCACAGCCCTCTCAGGTAGGTAGTGTCGTCCTGCTCTACTGATGAGGGAGCGGATGCTACGTGCAGCTGAGTGAATTGCTCAAGGTCACACAGGGAGCAAGTGGCAAAGCCAGGATTCCAAACATTTGCTCTTAATCACGACGCGAGTATTTGGTTGCATAGTGACTAAGAGATTCAGAATATTTTTTAAAAATTAAAGCAAATAAAATTTGGAACATTTAAAACTTACTGAAGAGAATCTAGTTTGTATCTAAGTTAGTTATTACTAGTTCTAGGCCTCACATGATTCTGAGCATTACTGATGATAGTTCAGATCAAAGATTGGCTTTTTTATGCAACTGTAGAACAAAGGTATATCAGCCCCTTTGGAATAATGAAAGTGATCTTTCTGAAGAGTCAGCAGGTGGTTTGTCAAAGTTCGTGACCCAGGTGCAAAGCAGTTTGAATCAGCGCTAAGGGACGAGGTACTGGGGGCAGGGAGCTGCGAGGTAGCTCTTGGCAACAGGAGGAGGACTGTCTAAAGAAGACGTGATGAGAGGAGAACCAAGCGGAGGGGTCACGTTGAGGTGTCAGGTGGCTTCCTGCAGAGGACATGTGGCAAAACCCCTGCTAGTTCCCAAAGAGGAGTTAGACCTTGTGCACACGGGGACACTCAGGCAGGAGAACAGTCAGGACAGAGAAGGGAGAGCTGCAGCAGGTGATTTTTCTGCTTGTTTTGGATCTGGGAGCTACATGGTGCTCAGGCCTGGCCAAAGGATCCTAGATTCCAGGAGACAGAGAGAGAGAGAGAGAGAGAGAGAAAGTGTGTGTGTGTGTTTGTGTCAGGGTTGAGGGTTGAGGATTCTTGGTGGGAGCTGTTGCAGGTGCAGGGGGTCTGTTTGCTTTTTTATCTGGTTCAGAGTTTGGATTGGGTTCACGCCACATGATGAATCTGTGTCTGCTTAATATACTCTATCACTTTCCCTGTGGTTGGCCCCGGGCACCAGTGTGGGGATGTGTCTGCAGGTGGTGGCATGCGGACTGGGCAACCATCAGGCTGGAGCAGTACAGCACCGGGAAGGCTAGGCACACACTGCCAAAGACAGAGTTGGCTTGGATGGCTGCAAAAATCCAGAAAGAATTCTGGTCCTATTTTCATAGAACTAGGCCAGAAAACGCTGAATGAATAAGTATTACCCTCAGCTTAAATTAGTCAAATGGCTTATTTCTAGTTTCACATCCAGGAGTATTCTTTGGAAGCCCACATTTGGCTAGTGAAAACTGCACTTTCTGGGCTAGATTCCTTATAACTAGAAATGACAATGCTTCGAAAGATGACTTTATTGTATTTTTATCAGTAGACAAACTTCCTAAAAAATATACATACTCATGTCTGTGTTGAAGCCCTCAACATAAAAGGCCTCACATGACACATTCTGATCATGCAGTCTTTGCAAACGACAAGCAGGCTGAAAAATGTAATGTCTAAACATAATTTTAATTTTTGAACTTTTTTTCTAATTTGAAAATTAGTCTATAGACTTCATAGGAAGAAATAAATAAATTGGATAACCTTGTAAGTGACTAATTATACTTTCTCATAGTGTTTCTAATAACATTATCTATTTTCATTGCTCTTTTTTTTTCTTTTGAGTTGGAGTCTCACCCTTGTCACCCAGGCTGGAGGGCAGTGGCACGTTCATGGCCACCCCAGCCTCAGCCTGCTGGGCTCAGACGATCCTTCCGCCTCAGCCTTCCAAGTAACTGGAACTACAGACACATGCCAGCACGCCAAGCTAGTTTTTGTGATTTATTGTAGAGACGAGGTCTCACCAAATTGTCCAGGTTGGTCTCGAACTTCCAGGCTCAGGCAATCCTCTCACCTCAGCCTCCCAAAGCGCTGGGGTTACAGGCTGAGCCACTGCACCCAGTCTCATGGCTCTTTTTGAAGAATGTTATCCAAGATGAACAAGTACATTTTATACACCGGTTCTGCTTTTCTTTTCTTCCCCACCCCCCACCTCCATGCACTAGTGGAAGGAACAAACCTCTAATGTAAATTTTTGCTTGTGGCTCTTCCACATGGACAGGTTTTCAGAGCAAGTGGAAGTCATGAAATAGTAAAGCACTGGTACTATTGCAGTTTCCTAGCTCAGAAATGGATGCTCTCCTCCTTGAGCTTGCCAAGCCTTAGAGGGCCCTTGGAGAGTTGAGGCGGCATACTCAGAAGGATGTCTCATGCTATACTTATTAGATCTGCCTTGGAGAACATCCTGAAGTCTCAGTGGAAAGTGAATTGACTTCCTAGGTCAGTGTCATGCATAAGCACCTGTCCTGCAGCTTTCTCTTTTCTTTTTTTGGTCTGCATTCCAACTTTGGCTATTAAAGAAAAATTCTTAAGAGGAAAAAAGGGCAAACCTATAGGGCCATTGTTTCCCAGTTCTGCTGGAGGCTAGCCTCCTGGGCTCCAGGGAGCTCTGCTCCAGGTAGTTGTGTGTGAGCAATGTGCATTTATCTAAGACCCCAAGACTCTGAGCGCTGCTGAAGGTGCAGAGATGGACTAGAGATGGACTCTGTCCTCTAGAAGCTTAAAGTCTAGAGCTGAGTAGATGACATAATCTACTCAGCAAACACTTATTAAGCATGTGTGTGTTTGAGGCACTGGGGCAACATGGCGGTGATTAAGCTGCAGCCCCAGCCTTCTAAGGAGTTTGCAAATACCAGACAATTCAGGCAGTATGGTGGATTTCCCAAAGAATGAAAACAAGTAGTGCTTAGAAAAGGGAGGAATCTCTGTGTGCTGGGATGGCTTGGGAGATCTCTGAGCAGGTGGAGGGCTTAACTCAAAATTCCAGATCCTTTTTTTTTTTTTTTACGTTCAATGAATCGTCTAGGTTCTAGTATAAAGCCCACACCAAGTTTCAATGAAGCGTACATTTGTTAAATTGGGGGGATTCTTGTGCTCTTCCTTCAGTGAGTACTGTGACTGTCTGCTCATCCAGCCCTTCTCCACCCCCTCTCTGTTCCTAGGCACTAGTCTGCCACACTCCAAGACCAAAACGTGTAAAAGATTATTCAGTAAGAATTCCCCTCACTTCCTTCCTTATCTTTCTGACTGCTCCCTGCCCAGCCACTGTCATCAGTTTCTTATGTGTCATTCCAGAGTTTGTGTACGTACAAGAAAACATGAATATAAGTTCTTGTTTCCTGCCCATCTTTACGCAAAAATAGTATGTTATACTCACAGTTTGATATCTTGCTTTTCTTAACATATCTGAGAGATCTTTCCTAACAGTGCATAGAGCACATTCTCATTCTTTCGGATACCCACATAATACTCTGGTATGGTGCGTTACCAAAATTTATTTAACCAGTTTTCTACTGGTGGTCATTTGGGTTGTTTCGATCTTTGCTGTCACGCAAATAGAGCTTCAGTGAATAACTACACACAGAGGATGCCCCTTAACTTATGTAAGTGTTATGTCCCGATAGACCCATCATAAGTCAAAAATATAGTAATTTGAAAATGCATTTAATCCCTCAATAAACTCATCATAAATTCAAAATCTGTATGCCATTCACATGTGTAAGTACTTTATACAGCAGTGATACAGTGGTTTAGTGGTTTTGCATGGGGCCTTTTACAAAAGGAATTACAGGTTAAAAGGTTTCTCGGCCCGGCTTGGTAACTCAGCCTGTAATCCCAGCACTTTGGGAGGCCGAGGCAAGTGGATTGCTTCAGCCCGCAGGCTTGAGATCTGCCCTGGCAACTTCACGAGACCTCGTCTCTACAATAAATAAAAAATTAGCCGGGCGTGGTAGCACACGCCTGTAGTTCCAGCTACTTGGAAGGCTGAGGTGGAAGGATCGCCGGGGCCCAGCAGGTCGAGGCTGGGGTGGCCATGAGTGTGCAGCTGTACTCCAGCCTGGGCAACAGAATGAAACTCCAACTCAAAAAAAAAAAAAAAAGGTTTCTCACCCTGGCACATCATTATTTTCTGATTTGGATATTTTGTGGACTACATTGTAACCCAGAAACCTGGAGATAACTTGATAAATGTGCCTAATAATGGCAGGTAGTATTCCCCACCCCAACACTGGTATTGTAAATAGACAACTTAGAAAACCCTAGCCAGGCTCGGTGGCTCAGCCTGTTATCCCACGCCTTGGGAGGCTGAGGTGAGGGGATTGCCTGAGCCCACGGGTTCCAGACCCGCCTGGGCAACTTGGTGAGACCTCATCTCTACAACAAATCAAAAAAATTAGCCGGGCGTGGCAGCCCGCGCCTGTAGTTCTGGCTACTTGGAAGGCTGAGGCGGAAGGATCGCCGGAGCCCAGCAGCTCAAGGCTATGGTGGCTGGGAGCAGCCACTGCACTCCAGTCTGGGCGACAGAGTGGGACTCCAACTCAAAAAAAAAAAGAAAAGGAAACCCTGATTTTACTTCTCATTGGTTTTCACCAGAGTTGTCTAGTTTTGCAAGATGTTTATTTGGCAGGAGGCCATTGTCATCACTGGGCCTGAGTAACTTCACACTTGTTTAAAACTCACCCTTCCTGGGATGCCTGGTGGCCCACTGTGAAATTCTCAAACGCATGGTGCTCTTGTGTTTGTAGACGGGCTCATCTTCGCTTGTGCCTGGAGAAGTTGAAGGGGCTGGTGCCGCTTGGGCCCGAATCAAGTCGACACACTACGCTGAGTTTGTTAACAAAAGCCAAATTGCACATAAAGGTGAGTATCCTTGGGACACTCCTTTATCTTCACCTGTCCAGTAAGGGCTTGTCTGTTGTTATGAGGGACAGAAAATGCGTCTGTCCAGGACAGGCTTCTCCTCTGAACTCGCCCAGCCTGGCTCTTGGATGAGCCTCAGGCACCTCAGACGCAGCATGTCCAGAACCCAGCTGTGCATTTCTCCCCTGTCCACCCCAGATAAGTGGTTCCTTCAGCTCTCCATTCACGTGTACAAGCGGGAAACAGGGGTCCTTGAGCTCCTGCTCCTTAACCATACAGCCTTCTCCAACACCTAAACATTTCATGGCCTGGTCTACTTCCATCCTCACCCCCCCATCATCTACTGCAAGAAAATCCTCAAAGTCTCCCTACATTCCTCTGCCTCCCCCACAGCCTGCTTTCTGTGCTTCCCAAGAACAATCCTTCCAAAGCTCAAATCCACAGGACCCTGTTTAAAATTCTTCTGGGGCTCAGGACCAACTCCATCACCAGGCCGGGGCTCTTCTTCGCCCGGCCCTCAGATGCCTCTGCCGCAGTGTCTTGTTGCATGCGTCCCCTTCTCTCTAGCCCGTCTTTCAGTCCCTTGTACTTGTCATGCTGTCCGACCACAGGGCCTTTGTCTGTGCTGTTCTCTCTGCTTGTCATGCTGTCCCCTCTCTTCTTCCCCCAGTGAACTTCTACTCATCCTTCAGCTAGCTCTCAGCACCAATTTCGCTAGCTCAGAGAAACATTCACTGACCTTCCAGACTTGGTCACCTCCTTCCTGTGACGACAGGTGGTCCTGGCATTGGGTCTCTCTCTTTGTGCTTGTCACAGTTGACCTTTAACAGTGGTTTCTGTGACTGCTGGGTTGACTCCCTTGTCAGGCTGCAGACTTCATGAGGGAGGGGACTGGGTCCTTGTGCTCACCTCGCATCCCAGCACCTCACAGAGTGTGGAGCACATAGTCAACCCTCTGTATGCTGCTTGAACAGCAAAGTCTCCCTACACAAGAAAGGTGAGTTGTGTTCAAACTCCCGAGAGCCACAGCCTGAACCACCTTTTTTTTTAGATTAGAAAATAAAGCTTATTTAGAAAGTAAATTAGAGAGAAAGAGGAGAGTCACCTCCCCAAGGCAGGGGAGGGGGCCCCAGAACCACTTTTTAGCATGTTTTTATGGTCATATCTTGGTTGGACAATATCACATTAATTATGGTTAGTAGCCGGCATCCATGACGATTCTGGGAGAAAGAGAACCTCTATTTAAAGCAGAACAGCTATAATTAAACAATCTTCTTAATTATCTGAAGAATATGTGAGAAGCTAGGGGGCAGATTTGTAGTAATCTATGGAAATGTGTTTTCTAAGCTCTGTTGGACAAATTGGAATCAGGACTTCAAAAGGGCCTGTTATTTTCTGCTAACAAACAGAAGTTAATTGAGATTTGGCATGACACAAAAAAGCACTTATGTAATCGGGACATCACTTGAGTCAACATCATTTTAAATGTAAGCGTGTTTCTTCAGCTCCCATCATGTATGGTTTTCTAGTTCAGAGCAATTAGGCGTTCAGGGCATCTCTGCAGACAAGGGAGACCAGTTAGGGCTGCGGCCTGCATTTTCTTTGATACCAGAATTGGGGGCTCCCAGCATGCCAGTGTGTTGAGCTCACTCCCAGAATGCCCACCACAGGACACGTACCCGCAGTGTGGGTGATGCTGAAGAAGTTAGAGGAAACCAGGAGTCACTGGCAAGTTAACTTCCTGTCTCGAAGAGAAGTTTGGCAAATGACACAGCAAATGGCTTCTGAGGAAATGGGGTGGATTTCACCACCAGAAGGGAAGACGCAGGGTCATTGCCAATTTAGAAATCTCCCAGCTGGGCTCGATGGCTCAGCCTGTAATCCCGTGCTTTGGGAGGCTGAGGTGAGTGGATTGCCTGAGCCTGCGGGGTTCGAGACCCGCCTGGGCAACTTGGCGAGACCTCATCTCTACAATAAATCAAAAAATTAGCCGGGCATGGTAGCACGCACCTGTAGTTCCAGCTACTTGGAAGGCTGAGGCGGAAGGATCGCCGTAGCCCAGCAGGTCGAGGCTGCAGTGGCCGGTAGC